GTCAGGATATGACCTTCAGAACTTGGGTTCAAAACCAATGGGCTATTACAAGGATGAAAGCAGAAAAGACCCCAAAAAGACACCCTGTAGCTAAAATAACATTAAATGATACTTTCACGGCCTTTGACCAAACAACTTGCTATTAAAGTAATCCTGTTAGGTCTCTAGGGTTTTACTATTCTTCTGGTGTGAGGGTGCTTCCTGTCACAGAAAGGATCTTTGCAGGTGGCAGGGCTGACCGGTGCTGCTGCACACCTGAGAACATTTCTCAATCAAGATGACTAGTGTCTGTATAAGGAGGCAAAGGGTCATCTGTCTTTACTGGATTATTACTGCTAATGGTATTCCATCCAAAGACCTAAACCAGTAATATCTTTCTAGTTGAAATTGTCTTATTTTAAATCTCTTTAATGAGGACTCTGTTATTGTTCCAGGCAACCAGTGAAAATAATTTTGTCTCCGATCTTCATGGAAAAGGTCTTACCTGTGTGCAGCGGTTCTCAGTCTTCATTATCTGCCTGTTCTGCAGCACGTCGTCTCTTGCAAGTACCAACGCTCTCGGATTTTACTAAAATTCTCCTCGACCTCTGAGGTCCAGTCTGCAAAGCCTGCTGGCTCTAACTCTTACAGATCCGTGCTACCTCTCCTTCATCCCTCAGACCAACCAGAAAGTTAAACTGACTTCCTGCTGTTCTCTCCTTTCATACTCTTGTTTTTTTTTTGTTAAAACTCATGTGGGTCAAAAAACTTCAAACCAACATTTGAGATACAACTTCTTGCAGCTTTGCTGTCCACACGCACTGAACGCATTTGCTCACGGCTAAAATATTATAGCTTAAACCAGAGTTTGGCCTTAAAGGCTTCTACTTTCAGGCTGTGTATCACCATTTTTATTTCTTAGCCTTTCTCTCCTGAGCTTGTTTCTGTAACAAGGTCTGGATGACGAAGGGAGCCCCTTTTTTTGAACAAGTGAGGCCTCAGACAGAGGTGTGGAGAAAGCTTTAAGGCCTTTTTGAAGCCTGACGGCCATCGGTATTCTTACCATAGCCTCTGTGGATTTCGCTGCTACCTGCAAACTGGGTCAGGTTTTGCATTATTTTAGAGATTTGTATCTCACTGGGAGGAGAGAAGGAGCTTTTGCACATGCAGGCATGCAGACGAACACCTGCGTTTTGCCTCCCTCTGTTTTCCCCTCTGCCTCTCTCTTTCACACATGCATTATTGAGTTAAATAACATACACACATATTTGTCATCCTAGCCCATAAATGTCAATTGAAAGCTGACAAATGAGCTAGCCTCATATTGAGAAAATCATTTCAGAAGGAGCCTTCACTGACATTGATAAGGAGTACTATTATTGATTACAGCACTCAAAAAGTCTGCACTTTCACAGCATTTACATGCAACTTTGTCAAGGTTTATTACCATTCCTGTCATACAAATTGGATTTACTGCAGTTGTAAATCTTAAATTCATACTTTAGCATAAATTAGCAAGTAAAAGTTCTGCAGCATCCGCTGTGGACTGTTTCGATTAAGTTTTATAGCCATTTCTGTCATTATTCCTCTTGAATTTTGAGTCACTGTTTCAGGTTTTCCACCGTTTCTAATTCCAATCATTGAGCATTCGTCCTGTCAGTAGACGAACGAGGGACCAGGAGCAGATGCTGAGGGGCGTCAATAATGAGACACTGAAGAAAGGTAATTGAAGGGGACAGGAAAGCTGGCGAGACACCTCAGAAAATAAGACGGGAAAGAAAATAACCAAGTATGAGATAGAGGAGGAAGATATAGGAGAGACCATCTGAGGTGAATACAAATGGACAAAGGGGGAACAGGGGTGGTGGGTAGGGTGCAAAAGAATGTAAAATGAGAAGGACTCACTATTGAGTCATACGGAAAAAAAAGACAAAGAAATCCACATTAATCCCTAACCCAAAACATGGTCTCTTCTATAAATATAGAAGAAGATTTGGGCATTTGAAAAGGCTAGCTTCAGTCACTAGACCAATGCTGAAGTCCAACAATAGCCAGGAATTATTTTTATATGCTCTAAATGTCACCCAGATTATAGCCGCTTGAAGTATGAGGAGCCTTCAGTACTTCATAACAAGTCAAACAAGGAACATGTATGTCATCTTAAATGAGTCATCAATGCAGATATTATGATGTATTACAGCCTGCTCTCCCATTTGCTGCAAAAAGCAACTCTGAACCACCAAGGCATGGACCTCACCATAGTGCTGATCCAGATAGCACATCCTCCAGGAGCTTGATTGAAATGAGATCTGGGCTATTCAGATGTTAAATCAAAACTTGTCTTTCTTAAATCCCAAACCATTCTTCCTGCTAAATAAAGCCTTAGTTTTCAAGCCAAATTGTTTCCATCACTAATTGATAGTATAGTTTTTTATTAAGGTATAGTTCTAGGTAGTTTTACCTGCAGAACCAGTAGCTCAACAGCAATAAAGGAGCTTCAATACCACCCAACCAGCTTAAACATCACCCACCCTCCACCTTTAATTCCAGTCACCAGCCTTTTATTAGCCTTTATCCCATTGATGATTCCCCATAGTTACTTCCTTTGAACACTTTTAATAAAAAATGACAATAGACTTAGAAAATCTGACAAGAAGCTGCACTTTTGTGGATAACCTAACCGATTCATCTAACCATCACAAGATGTTATATGCTTTTAAATGTTTTAGTTTGGCATTTGTTCCTGCTCCTAACACTTCACCTTCAGAGAAATATTCTCCCTAAATAAATGATCCCACTAATTAACAAATTAGTAGGAGTAAATTTCTCTTGAGGTTGTATATTAAGCATTTAAAACTCAGTTTGACTTATTTTCTGTTCTACCATTCAGTTTCAATTTTCAGTTTCAGTTTCAGTTTTCAACTTTATGTCACACATCCAAGTCCTTGGAAAAATAACACATTCCTATGTCAATGAAAGGCAGCAAAACTCTCAGTTTTTATTCATTATATCACATGTATAAGAAGATTCAGGTTAAAAAATGTCACTGCACATCTGTGTCTTTAAAGGCGAATAGGGATTGTCCTATCCAATAATATATATTAACAGCTGCCCCTTAGCCTGACACCTGGTGCAAGGGCCATAGAGGGAACAATGACGATGCAAGACATCTTGCACACTATTTTAGCATCTTAAGTTATTAGCAACAAGTAACATACAGTAGCTGTTACACATAGCCTACTATCCTGAGAATTTTAATGCAAGTCATTTGCCTTAATATAGGACCACCAAGCTACTGCATCCTCCACTTCTTCAGGTCTAAATGCAGCCACAAAGCTTCACCATATCCACATCAATCTGTGGTTGATTACTCTGGTCGTCTTAATGGACCCAGATGTTTGGGAAGGAAAAAAATAATAATTCTAGAACTGAAAGTCCAATTTGTCCAAATAAATTTTAGTCTGTGATAAAAACATTTTTAAAGCAAAGTAATTTAAATTATTAAATGCAGTTTAATTTAATTTCCATAATTAAATAGTTTCAATTTAGCCAAATTTCCTTTCAATCCAATACATTTAATTTTGCATATGTAAATTAATTTTGGGCACATCAAATTCAGTTTCTGATGGCTCCAGTTTCTGCCTATAGAGGGTGGGCAAAAAAAAACACAAAAAAAACTGGTTTGTTAATGAGATATCAAAAGATGAAAGCTCATGATTGAAATATGAAACACATATTAAATATACAAGCCAGGTAAAAGTGGATGAAATGAGCATTCTCCACAGGGTGGCTGGGCTTTTCCTAAGAGATAAGGTGATTGGTCATCTGGAAGAGACTCTGAGAAAAGCCGCTTCTCTTCCACATCGAGAGGAGCCAGCTGAGTCGGCTCAGACATCTTTTTCGAGTATCCTCGGACGCCTCTTACGGAAACTCTTCCAGACACATCCCACCAGGAGGGGCCCCAGGGGACAACCCAGGACAAGATGGAGGACCTATGTATGTCGGCTACCCTGGAATGCCTAATAGTGCACAGTAACTACCAACGTCAACCCCATGCTTAAATAATATTTAACAAAGATTCCACAGGGAACCATCTTTTACAATTCTTTTAGCGTATCCACTCCATCCCCACTGCATCAGTTAGTGAAAGTTGAACAAAATGTAGAAAGGATAAGACTTAGACTTAGACAACAATAACCCAAAATTGATCAATCTTTTCTACTATTCCTTTATTTTTTGGATCAGTTTTATTCATTTATGCTCAAAAGGATGCAAATAATAAAGTTTGATGTTTCATTGATAAGCCAGGAATTTAACTTGAAGTTCTTTGAGGGGCTATCTTTTTCAGAAAAAAATGAAAAACAGGAACATTCTTTAGACATGACATACTCTGAAATCTATAAAAGGTTTGCATGTCTGGAATCGGTTTGGCGGCAAATAAGACCTCATAAATTGTATTCTTTTCTCATGGGGATGACAATGAGTTGTTACAAAACATTACTGTTTATTCATTTTACATTTTTCTGTTATACTGCATTTAGTTTTTCATTACCTCGGTTGCCAAAGTGATCATAAATAATAGCTTTTAATGGCTATCTATACAGTAGATTTTTATATTTTTAAACTAACTCTCCTGTGGTGACCCTACATGTTAGAAATCTATCTACTAAAGTAATAATTTTGCTGTTTTTCGGTAAATCTTAAAAGACAAAAAAAAACGGAATTCCACAAGGAGACAGATTGGTACCTTCCTTTTTATCCATTTATGTTCATCAAGATGAGTCCTGATTAACCTTTATTTGGAAAGCTTTCTTTGTCTTGGATGAATCTGGTTCATTGAAATCTATAGTAGATTCTAATAATGTTAAGATATCTATAAAGATTTGGTTTATTTGGCAACAGGTATTGGTAAATGTATAGTTCTAAACTATGTTGCGCATAGTTTGCAGCGCAGGTGCGCACCAGCAAAAGGCTGCATGGACAGGACTCCGTGCAGCCCTGCAGAGAGAGGAGCCACTTACTGCAGGTTCGAGCTGTTCCAATACACCGCATGACGGCTGCTGGCTCTGGAAAGGTGCAAGTTTGTAAGCGCCAGGGTGATGAGGCTGAGAGAAAACGTTACGAGAGCCATAATCCCCGTGCGTGCTGGTCCAACCCTGCCTCTTCCTCCGCTTTTTTTCTTTTTTTTTTTGCCTCCTTCTGTCCCAAATGACGGGTCGTTCACAACATCCCAGCGACCAGGAGCCCGTCTTCAACTTCAGTGACTTCTCTAAGGCTCAACGTTCCTCAATCCAAGCTCCATCGCGTAAAAAAACATCTTTACTTCAGCCCAAATCTCTACTTTTAAGTCTCTCCTTTTGTTCCCAATCTAAGCTTTCATTTAAAACAGCCGGCCAAAAAGCAAAAAGTCAAAAAAAAGGCGGAAATCTTCACATCTATTCGGTGTTTATTGTTGGTTATTCTGCTGCTAAAGTCGCATCCAAGCCGCTGGATCTTCGGTATTTAGAGATACCTGCCACTTCGCTCCCAGAAGCCGCAACAGCAGCCAAACGCTGCGCGCACAACGACACAAACCCGCCCTCTGATGGCAGAGAAGCGCGCACATGTCCGTCTACTCTGCCGCCACGCCCCCTCATCTCATGCACAATGCGTGCATGAGCTATAAATGAAACACAATTACAGTAGACAGTTAAAAAAAAGGAAACTTATGCCACATATTTTGCACAAACTTAGTTTCTCTTTCTAAATCATTTGGACCAGGTCTCCAAAGTCGCACCAGTAAGAATGCCTCTATTATAAAAATGGAAATAAGCAATGCATCAATTTAAAATAAGAGCTTTTTTAGAATCATTTTACATCCACAATGAAAAAAGGCTGTACTGCACCGCTCATCAATTAGTAATGAGATAAGGGCCATGCTGTAAGTGTTGTGTCCCTTCTCAGAGTGCCAGGGGAAGTAGCAGACATTTAAATATTTAAATATATATAAACCATATGAACAACACTTACACAACTTGACATAAATCAAAATGTTCCAATTATTTAAAGGTTGTATATCTAAGCTATAAATGTACCACCACTGCTCTGTGTTTTTCTTGTGTTGTCTTTGTCTATCCTCCCCATTCAAAGTTAAGGTGCACTTTAAATTATGTTGTTTTCTCAAATGAAGCCAGTGACTTATTCTCTTTTTTGCCATCCAATAGAAACTAGCTGAATACTTATCTGTTTATTTGTGTTGGCTTTAACTCTCTATATTGTCTATTCTTTTTAAAATAAATAAATCAAGCAATTGCTGCCAATTACCTCTTTGTGCACTCTTAATAATAGAAGGTACCCTTCCTTAATGCTTCTCTGTTTAGCTGTTTCTTTAACGGCCAAGGCAATTTATTAAGCCATTATTAGATATCTCCTCTGTTAAATGTCACCTTTTTCTATTCAGCAACATACTGTAGTCTACTTACTTTGCATAACAAAATGTTCTGTAGTAAATTTAGTAAACATGGAGGTACTTCGGTTTGTTCAACTAATTGTTGAAGTTTATTTCCTTTTCAGGGATTTCTTAAAAAAATATTGCTTGCATTGGTTAAAAATGCACAGGAAAGTAAAGGAAACTATACTCTTTTTAGGTAGAAGTAGAGTATAAATATCTAAATGTTTAGTTCAATTAAGTCTCATGTTCATGAAAAAAATATAAAACTAAACAAAGTAATTGATAAAGATGATTCTTTTCTGATTAACTCAAATCATTCAAGCTTCTTCCTCTTGACCAAAATCTTTCATACAAAAAAATTTCATTTGTTTTTTTAAATTTATAATTTTGTGATGTTTTTCTCACTAGCAATCAACATGAACAATATGTTGATTGCTGAATATATTTTAGCTTCAAATGTGCCAAAATCTAAAAGCAATTTCATTTCCTTTTAATCAGGCTAATAACTTAATTAGTAACAGTTCATTATTAGAAAATACTTCTCTGCCATAATCCTAAGAAAGTGTTATGAAATTAACATAGTCTTGACTCCAACTAACACAAACACTAACAAAATCTGGCATCTATTCAGTGCCAAGTTTTATGCAAATATAACATTCTGTAGATCTGTGTATGAATGCTCTGATGCAGGTATTTATCGTGTCCATGTAGCAGTACAAACAAAAACAAAGTAAAATGCACCCTTCTAATCATTTCCACTAATTCTGAGGTTTGTTCTGATTTAACATATGTAGACAAATGTATTAATTATACCCTCTCTCCTATTATTATGTCGGGAAAATCCTTTTCATGACTCAGTCAACAAGAAAATATCTTTAAAATGCAGAACAGGCCACATCCGTTGCTGTTTACTTTGGGATTAAGCTGAAAAAAGAGAATTTAAGACTGAAATCCTCTCTGGCTCATTATCCAAGGGTTTAATCATTAGGCTCTAGTTGCACATTGGCACGCTGTTCAAATGCTTGTCAACTGTCAGAAGAAAAAAGAATATTATTGATACAGAAGCTGGTGACAAATTAAAGAGGAAAAATAACATGTTGCTGGTTAAAAGTGAGGCTTCATATGGTATCCAGATGACAACACAAGAATTTCCTATTGCTTATCCTTTTTCACATTGGGGAGGCATTTTTTTATACTTCAGAAGATGTGTTTTTGTGTTAAAGTCAGTCAGGATACTCAGAAAGACATTTTCTGAGATTTGTTTGTCATACTATCTGTTATCCCTACTCTGCAGAGGCAGAGTAGGGCTAAAACATCTCAGAATAAAAATGTCCACCGCATTCAGTCAGTCACACATCCATGCACACATTTCTATTAAATAAAAACAACATGGAATGTAAAAAAAAATATATCAAAATATTGTTCTTATTTCTTATTGAATTGGTCAGTTTAAACTAATTTTCTATACAAAAGCCATTTGAACTTTGGTGTAAAGGATTACCAGAATTTGTGTGAAAGGATTATGACACTCGATTAAAGATTAAGCTTTTTTTTTTTTTTTTTTTAATTAAGAGGTGTTTTTGATGCTGACATCTAATCTCAATGTATTTTTCCTAAAGAATAGAACATAATTTAATTTAAAATAAACTAAAAAAGACAACATTAAAATCAACACCTAGGATTTCATTTAGCATTTGTTCTATCTTTTATTTACGAGCAGGTCAGTGGTGGATTTACAAGCATGCTTCAGGTCATTGCCATGTTGCAGGATGAATTTCTACTTCAGCAAAGTATAAAACACAAAATCTTTCATATAAGTCACCACCTTGGCTCTATGTTTGCTATAACTCCCAGACAGAAAGATATCAATATTTAAAACCTATTTTTAATTATAGCAAGTCATGTAATTACTCGTTATTCACTAATGTACCGTGAAGCCCCAGCATCAGAAATAAATCTTGCTTACATAAACATTCCAGAGAAGCTCCAAGCTAGTCTTGTTTAGGCTTAAATAGGAAGAAGAAAATTCAAAAGAACAAGAAACTGATGGTTGAAGCAACATTACTTTAGCAAAAAAATCTTTCATTTAGGAAAAGGGAGATTCAATAACATTAAGGTAAGGGCAAGACACAGTGCACAGCAGAGCAACAACTTAGAGTCAGCAACCAGACTATGGAGGAGGCTTTCATTGTTTGTAAGCAGAGTTTCTCAGGTATGAAAATACTTAAAGTCAGTTCTTTGTCGTTAGGATTTAAATGATCAAGTCATGAGACTTTAAACTGCTTTCATTCACTTTTATGTTTTACATATTCCCTGTCCATCTTTCTCTGTACTGTTTCTAAAACTCATTCTGTTGTTAGTTGCTATGAAGAAAAGAGAGCTGGACGAAACTAAACAGGGTATAAGTTGTACTGTAGTGCAGACTACTTTGCTGCCATAGTAATTTTTTTTTAAATTACAGGGTTTTTTTGTAACGACAGCAGGTGCGGCACTGTGGAGAGTTACACTCAAACTGTGCTAATCAAAGCTCAATTCTTTTTAGGTAGGATGCTGGTCTGCCAGGTCTTTTAGCTATTGCTCTCAAACAAGATTTTTGGCTGATTTTCACCTCTTTACTGGACAATTTGATTTCCTGTTTGGACCAGACTTTGCTATCACAAATTTTCTCTGGGGTGGATATTTTGTTCAGTGTTGATGCGCCATGCAAATCATAATGCTGCCCCTTCTTTTACTTTCAGGCATGACATTGAACATTTAAATGAAAAATTAGCAATTTAGCAATTTTTTTCACTTCTATTATTCTTTATTACTGTATTATTTATGTTAAATTTTTTGCATTTACATCACAATATCTCCAATAATATACTATTATTGCTGGGCTTCAATACACCCCTCTACAATTGGCTGTTCCTTCCTCATTAACAGACCTCAGTGAGTCAGAGTCGGACAGAACACCTCTGATGTCACCACCCTAAGCACAGGCTCCCCTCAGGGCTGCATCCTGAGCCCCCTGCTGTTCAGGCTGATGACACATGACTGCATACCCAGTTTCACCACCAATCACATTGTGAAGTTTAAAGAATGACACCACGGTGGTGGGCCTCATCAGAGAAGACAACGACCTGGACTATAGAGAGGAGGTCTAGCAGCTGGCGGACTGGTGTAAAGACAACAGCCTGATCTTGAATGTGGAGAAAACAAAGGAGATCATCAACCTCAGAAGAACCGGCCCAACCACGCTCCACTGCTCATCAACAGCTCAGCTATAGAGGTGGTCAGCAGCAAAAAATTCCTGTGGGTGCACATCACAGACACCCTCATCTGGAATGTAAACACTACCTCACTGGTCAAAAGGGCACAAAAGTGCCTGTACTTCCTGCGAAGGAAGAGGAGAGCCCACCTGCCCCCACCCATCCTCACGACCATCTAGGGAAGCACCATAGAGAGCGTTCTGACCAGCTGTGTCACTGTGTGGGGTGGAGGCTGCAGTGCAGCAGACTGGAAGAAAGTGAGGAGAGTAGTGAAACCTGCAGAGAGGATCATGGGAGCTCCTCTTCCCTCCATACAGGGCATTTGATCCCACCGCTACATGTCAAGTCAAGTTATATAACACAACCATCATTATTTTTTTCTATGTACTATAAAAAATACCTCAAAACAATTATTCAAAGGTATGTGTTTGACATTCTCTAGAGACCAAGTTACCCTAAGGGAAACCCCTAAAGTCTGTGTTTGGAAGGCACCTATAGATCTACACAAGCACTGCAGAAAACCTTAGTGAATGTAACTAAAACAATTTTCTGAAAATACTTGGATCCCCAGCATACTGTTGTGCTGAATTTCTTTAACTTAATGATTTTTTCTATGTGTTTAGAAAAACATGAGGAAAAGAATTAGGTGGAAATAAAGTCAAAACTGAAGCTTACCAGCAAGGTTTGTTGGGATTCATTTCATATTAATATTTGGGAGAATTAATATTGGTGCAGAGAATACATGCGTGTGAAATTATACCAAATGTGTCAGAGTAATTATATGTGTGTACCTGAATGTGTGTGTTTAATAGCAGAATAGGGACTGGTTAGAAGGAATATTAGGAGCCTTTAAATAACCTGTTTAATTTCACTGTTGGTAGTTTGGT